CCAACCTTTTTGACGCCGCGGCCCGGTACCGGCATCAGCTGGGCGCCGCGGCCCGGTACCGGCATCAACTGGGCGCCGCCATCTTTTTTTGATGAAAAAGTGCTTCCAGTGAGCTTTCTACCCGGAAAAGCTCACCGGAAGCACTTTTTTACCAAAAAAAGATGGCGGCGCCCAGCAACCAGCGGCCCAGTAAGACTTGTTCCGCGGACCGGTATCGGTCCACGGACCAGCGGTTGGGGACCCCTGCTCTAGGAGATAAAAATAAAACACTTCCTATCTGAGGAGTTACAGGTAGAAAGGGAGAGTTAATATAAGAGATGATTCTTTCTTATGATCTCCATCATTCATAGAATAGCAAGAAAACAAAAATAAAGCTACCTAGACATGTCTCTAATATGCAGAACTCCCTATTTCACTTTAGAATACAGGTGGTCCTTGATTTACAACCATTTGTTTAGTGATCATTTGAAGTTACATCAGCACTGAAAAAAGTGACTGGTTACCATTTTTCATGCTTGCAAGCATCCCCATGGTCACATGATCAAAATTTGGACACTTGGCAATTGGCATGCATATATGACGGCAGCAGTGTTGTGGGGTCATATGACCATCATTTGTCACTCTCTGTCAATGGGGAAGCCAGATTCACTTAACAACTTTGGTACTAACTATAACAACTGCAACGATTAACAACTGTGGCAAGAAAGGTTGTAAATGGTGCAAAACTCACTTATTTAAACTCACTTATCTTGCTTAGCAACATACATTTTGAGCTCAGTTGTGGCTGTAAGTGAAGAACTGTCTTTATGTATATAATTTTAACCGAAATGAACCCTGACTTTGAATGTGCTTCCCAGATCCAGCCCCTTTCACCATGGTTGCTATTATTTTAGGAAATTCCTTTAGGTTATCTTAACGCAGTTGGGAGACAAAATGATCGTATACATGCTGAATTAAAATGCATCTACATGATTTGGGCAATCTTAACCTCAGTACATAGTTCAACCCAGGTGAAGGAGAAGATTTGTCTCTGTCCACTAAACAGCATCAAAACAGAACATAGTATTAAATCAAATAGATAGAAGAAAGAGGAGAGGGAAAGGATTCAGTGAATACTATATTCTCAAAGAAAATGATTACTTATGTAGATCTGCTACTTATGTGAATTTTCACTTTTGGAGTGTGAGGTTAGGCACAGTATAATTAGCAATTTACTTAGCCCTACAGTCTGTCTGAATAGGCTGGATGTCTCAGGACATTCTCACACCTCTATCCTAAACATATCATTAATCTGGGCCAAATTATTGAATTACTATAGCTATTGCACATTTATATTACTCTCAGGTGATCTCTTTTCAGTTTTACTATTTTTTGGAGAATGGCACTATAAGCGTGATGACCTAGGGTGTGGCACAAAGGCAACACAGCCAGAGAATAAAAATGAATTCCTTTATTAGCTCCAACTTTGCCCCTTTGATCCAGTTAGTTTCTGGTCTGGAGAAAAACTCTCCCACGGACCTGCACTAGCCTTTGGCTGCAGATATTCCAGTCCAAACGTTGTAAACTGAAAACTTTAAACTATAAATCCAACAAGGCAAAATAAGGTAATTAAAACTGGCAGAGCAAGATATGGAGTTCCAGATATGAATTAACAAGGCAGTAAATCAAACCAGTTGGGAGGATGCCAGGAACTCAGATAACTGCAGCCAACACAAGATAAACTCAACGTTTGTTCCTGACAAATGCCCCTCCCAACTGGTTCTCCTTTAAACTCCCCCCCAAGTTGCCTTGTGAAGGGAATCAGGGCCCTTTCCTCCCTCATAAGCCACACAACCCATGTTGCTCTCTTCTCTGTTTTTCCCTGCGTGCCCTAGGGTGAAGAGTGGGTGGACCTTGGACTTCCTCCGAACCCCCTCTTCCCCTTTTACCTCTTCCCTGCTCTGCCCAGCCTGACTTTGCCCTTCCCCAATTTCCTCCACAGCCAACAGAGCCAGTCTCCCCCTGACGGCTATTTGTCTTCCTCCTCTGATTCAGACTCCGATGGAGGGGGGGGGTATGACAATAAGCTTCTTGAAATTCTCTTGTTTTTAAACAGTGTAGTTTTAATATATTTAATACATGCATACATACATACACATTACAACATGTATTATATATCAAGATAAACCTTAGATAAACCTTATCTGTGTGTTGTTGATGTACTAGGAATGCCACTTGTAAAACAGCAACAGAATAAAGAAGAAACATTGATGTGTTTGTTAGACAGTGAACCATGGAAAGAAGGCCGTTTAAAGAAAAAGAAGACTTTTCTTTATTCTTGTGGCAAATACTCCTAGAAAATGATGCCTAATGTCAACAGTCTTTTGCAGATGAACTTGTTTGAAAATGTATATGGGCTTCATATTAGATTTTTTTTTTCTGAAGACAGAGATGAGATTTTGAAAATAAATTGAAACAAGGTTAGCTTTGATGTTATGAAAGGGCATCAGATTTATGTACTTAACTTCCAGAAAATCCTTCAAAATGGCACCTTTGCTACCATATGCACTCACATTTTGGAACCCCCTATATGGAGATATACAGATGGTGAATGTATTCATCATGTTATAAAATTATATGATTGTTTCCTTGCTTGGCTAAAAGCAAATAAAGAAACCTACTGAAATGTGCAAGATTCAAGCAATTGTGAAGAATTCAAGATGATAAATCCCTCCCTGTGATAGCAGCAAGACTCCAGTTGAGTTAAGTTTAGGACAAGATTAGTTAAAGTGAAGTCATTGTTTATACTAGGCACATTTTCTGGCTTGTTAAAATGGAACGAATAAAATATGTGATAGAATATTTGTTTTGGTGACCTGCTTATGTGGTTGATTGTATGATTGGCTGGAATTGAGAACTGGATTAGCTCACCTTTAGTCTGATCCAGTAAAGCTGTTTTTATTCTTTTTATTTGAGAAATACATTTTGTTAAAAAAAAAAGAATGCAAAAAAGTTTAAAACACAATCTTTATTTTTTTAGCAACATATTTATCTTGTTCTCCATCTTCCTTTACACATTGTTGGGTTATAAATTAGATCTACAAAGGTCTCTAGAGTATTAAGCTGAAGTGAAATGTTTAGGAAATACTTCATTGTTTTATTTGACACGAACACATTGGGTCAATTTTCATCATGGAACACTTTGTTATGTAGAAGTTATACCTCCACGTGCTGATCAGCAGTTTTACTTGAATGTCAGATAAGAATTAAGTCAACTAAAACTTTTTGTTTGCTATGAAGTTTCTGTTCTTTCAGTTCACTAGAAATTCTAGTTATATTAAATATTAGCACAGCTCAACAGTGTTTCACCTACTTGTGGTTTCTAAAATAGTAGACTCCAACTTATTGTGAATTTAATGCAATTATATGGGTGGGTCATTAAGGGGAAAAATGTGCAACACAAAATACTTAAACAGTATTGAAAGCTGCCACTGGCATTTTTTGTTCTGACACAGTTTTTATAGATCCTTAGTGGCATTAGCTATTTTTCAATTATGTCCCAAAAAACTCAGCATCAATACTTCCTTATCTGAAGCTTAGATATAAAATTAAGTATGTGAAAAATTATGTCTTCATTCTGTATTTAGCAATAACATTTAGACTTATATACCACTTCACAGTGCTTTACAGCCCTCTCTAAGTAGTTCACATGCAGATCTCGGATATAAAGGCACTCTCAGAAGACTTTGCTATGCTTCCCATCACCAGATGATCAACATGATTACAAAAGAAACAACTGAATGAAATCATTAGTTGAATGATTTCTTCCTGAAATTAATGGCAAAAAGCCCAGCAGCCTCATGTCTGCTAGGCAGTTGGGTCATCTGAGGGTGAAAATATACAATGTTCAGGAGTGTTGAATTACTTATGAGTATATACCAGTGTATGTGTCTCAGTGTGTGTAAAGTTGCCATTGTAAACATGCATGTTTCCCATGTGTACATAAGTACAGTATATTCCAACCCTTGAAGCTTAACATGTTACATTTTGAATTTCAATTAGTGGCAACTCAGTTTTAACCATTTAAACTAAGAACATAAAATCAGAGACATCCACAGAGTAGAACCCCAGGGCTCTAAATAAAAATTTAGGACTTTCTCAAAATAATGAGCAAAAATATCTTTCTCTCTATGTATGTAGCTAGTGTGGTTTAGCACACTTTGAAATAATTCCAGAAGCAATATTTAATAACTTCTGTGAACACCTTCTACTGAAAAAACTTGAATTAAAATAACTAATTTCATGGTTGTTGTTGTTTTAATCTGCATTCCTGAACAAATGACCAGACCTCAAGGACAGTGTTTATTTTAAATATTAATAATACAGAATGTAATGGCACATCATTTTTTGGATTGAGAGGCAGAGTTGTAAATAATTTTTCATATATTATTAGCAACAAAGTTACAGCAGTTAAAGTTCAGGGTTTGAGAAATCTGCAGTGAAGCTATTGAAAGGATGCAACAAGTTAGTATTCCTCATTTTTGAATGCCACTTGGCCTCTTCTTGTAGATGAAAATTATGGAGGAAGTCAAGATGTTAAGGAAATAACAGGACATGATGTAATCAGATTATAAAATGGTAGATAAAACAGTTCTAATTCACTTCCCATTTAATAGCTCTCTTAGCTCTTTCTGGAAGACCTCTGAAGGGAGGAATGCATCAGACTAAAATAAGAGAGAGAGAGAGAGAGAAAGACTTAATTCTTAACCTTCCTTTTAATAGGAACAATGCAGAGTAATGTTATATTAACTCTCTGTATCCAAAAAAGAGATCCTGTAACTGTGGGTACGCCTATTGAAATCCTGTGTTGGGAAATGTAAGAATGTGAAGACTATAAATTCAGATGGATGTACAATTTGAAAAAGTTTGGAAATTAGTCCATCTCTAACAGAGGACACTGTGTATAATCTAATAGAAGAATAATGCAGAAAATACATTGAAATTGTAACTTTTTTCCCCAGGTCAAACATATTTCAGAAGACCCTCCTTGTAAATGCCCTAGTAAATTTTGTGTGGAGCGCCTTTCTCAGGGAAGGTACAGAGTTGGAGAGAAGATCCTTTTCATCAGGGTAAGAAAAAAAATTACTGTTCCTTTTGTGAAATGAAATATGGTAAGTAAGCAAATGAGTGAGAGAAATGATAATGAAAGAACTGTTTTGTGACCTGTGCTATCATAAAGAGCTATGCAGGACATATAAAAAAGTCAGTGTTGAAGGGACTGTGAGCAGGATGTCATCTCAAAAGTTTTACCTAGTCTTCTGAATACTTGAGCACTCACTCCCAAAAACAGTCTGAAATAAGGCTCTAGCTCAGATTATATTGTCGATGTGATTGCTGTGATTATCAACTTCTAGCCATGTTTGCTTTTAGAACATTGTTTTCAAAAGCAATCGATCAAAAATCACAGCATCAGCCAATAACAAACCACTTGTGTATTGTCAAGAAGAAAATTATAGACACGTCCGTGAAAGCACCAACCATTGAGCTCAGTTGAGGGAAAAATTTCTTTTACTTATGCATCCATTCATCCCTAATCCATTGTTGCAAGATACTCACTTCTAGATCCTACAATGCTTGTGTGTAAAGGTAAAAATAAATTTGAGCTCAATGCCTGGTAACTACATGAATACAACTTTATGGTTTTCTTGGTGCTAGCTCGAAAATGGTTTGACATTACATTCTTCTGCTTCCCTTCCTGCCTTTTTGAGTTTTCAGTGCACCTTACAAGTTTGTAGTCTTCTAAATGTTATTTATCCTGCTTCTGAATGTGGACAAGTTGGCCACTGCTTCCTACTATGATACAGTCATGAGTATTTTCCATTTTTTACTTCATGGAAAATAAAAAATACTATTCTTTTCTCTTGAAAAATCTGTGGAAGATTTATTGATTTTTAATATAATTATTACATTAATTAAATAAATAAGCACATTAAATTTATTTAAGTTACTAATTACTGGATGTAGCATCCTATATCAAGATAGAGATAGGTCAAAATGTAAGAATCAAATAATGCAGAGTGAAGTTACAGTAAAGGAAAATAGAATATAAAGAATGAAAATAAAATGAATAAAGGCAAAACCATATATTTAGGCTCCCATTTTAAAGTATTTTAGATATGATGGCTGAGAACTGTATACAAGGTAATTTTTGGACATAATATTTTCAGTTGTTTTTAAAGGACTTGATTTCAGATTCTATTTTCCTTATTTATTTGTGCTTTTAGCTGTGTGAATGAATACGTTTTAAGTATGTATAAGAGTCATGGCCATGTATTTTGTCTGCTTGACAGCCAAAGGAAAAATAATGGATTACTTTTCAAGTTTCATACTTTTGTAGTGTTTCTATGGATTAGTGATTTTATGTTCAAACATGCTTCAGACATGTTTCAGTAATAAACATTGTAAGGAATGTAATTCATCTACTCTAGCAAATTCCAGGCTCAGATGGTAAACTTCTCTTTGATTTCCATTTGTATGAATTTGTTGCTTTTTTACCTCCATGTTCTTCGGAACAACTTAGAGCAAAACAAGAAAGTGATATAAAATAGACTAAAGCACTAACAACATATTACAAATGGAAACAATGAAACTTATTAATAATAGCAGTAATAAACCATCAAGTTATTAAGAGATCTGTTCTGAGATTAAGAAGAGGTCATAGCTTATTCACAGAGCAAATATTATAGAGTCAAAAGGTCTCAGCTTTCATGTCAGGTAGGACAGTAGAAGAAATCCAGAGATTTATTTACCAATAGTCCTTTCAGGTCACATCTTCATATCTGGCGGGGTGGTGGTGGGGGGATGAGGATCCTGTTCCATTTGCTAAATGTCCTATTGGTGACATTTATGAGGAGCTAGTCTACAAAACCCACAATATGGATGTCTTTATTAGTATGAAATTTTGATGCATATATAAGATCCTACATAACTTGGACCCTGGTAATCCAAGATTTCAGCTCATGTGAAAGGATCAGATGGTGGACTTCTCAACGACTGATAGTTATTCTGTTTCTAAAGGCTCATGGAGATCAATGTTGCAAATGAGTGTACCAACTGCTTAATGCTTCTTGAGAGGCTATTAGAATGTTAAGATCTACATAACCCTTAATCCTAAACCTAGTTCATTTTTAATGGTAATGGAATTTTCCCTGTGGATCACAAACAGAAGAAAAGCTGTCACTGATGCTTTCCTAAAAAAAAGCACTATGAATCTACCCCTAGAATTAGATTTCGGCAATGACTCCAAGTAGACTTAATCCTAACCCTAGTTTTATATTCAATGCCAATAGGATATTCCCATGTATTTTACTATGGACCACAAACAGCTCTGAACAAAAGGTTATCAACGTTGCTTCCATTAGAAAACTTCTCAGAAACTATCCCTCGCATTACTTTTCAGCCATGACTTCAAGCAGATATGACCCTAACACTATCCCTAATCCTAGTTCATTTTCAGTGGAAATAGGATTTTCCCATGTATTTTACTGTGGACCAAAAACAACTCCAAGAGAAAAGCTGTCACTGACAATTTCCTTAGAAACCCACTAAAATCCTATCCCTAGCATTAGATTTCAGGCAAAACTTCAAGTAGACCTTACCCTAATCCTAACCCTATCCCTAACCCTAACCCTAACCTTATTTTCATTTTCAATGCCAATGGGATGTTCACATATATTTTACTGTGGACCATAAAAAATTCTGGGGGAAAAAAGCTGCAAATGGCCCTTTCCTAAGAAATCTACTAAGAATCTATTCCCAGTATGAGCTTTTGACCATGACTAACCCTAACCCTAACTCTTACCCTAAACTTAGTTTCATTTTCAATGCCAATGGGATTTTACATGCATTTTATTGCGTACCACAAACAAGTCCGAATGAAAAGCTGTCACCAACACTTTCCTTAAAAAACCAGTAAGAATCTATTCCTAGCATTAGATTTCAGCCAGGACTGCAAACCCTAACCCCAATTTCATTTTCAATGCCAATTGGATTTTCCCTTGTATTGTTCTGTGGACCAGAAAGAAATCCGAATGAAAATCTGTAACTGACCCATTCCTCAGAAAACCTCAAAGAATCTTTCCACTTTCCATAGCATTAGTTTCTGACCATGACTCCAAAAAGACTTAAACCTAAACTTAGGTTTATTTTCAATGCCAATGTTTTTTTTTTTCATGTATTACTGTGGATGACAAACAACTTGAGACAAAGAATGTCATTATTGCTTCTGTTAGAAAACTTCTAAGAACCTATCCTTGCATTAATATTTGTCCATAATTCCAGGTAGATGTAACTCTAACTGTTACTCTAACTCTCAACTTAGTTTACTGTGGACCAGAAACAACTCTGAATGAAAAGCTGTCACCATTGCTTCCCTTAGAAAACATATAAGAATCTATCCCACACATTAGTTTTTGGCCATGACTCCAAGAAGACCTAAACCTAGCTGTAAACCTAACTCTAGCTTCATTTTCAATGCAGTTTTAGACTATATGTTGTTATCATGGGAAATGTAAATCAATACCAACAGAGGATTCATAATCATTTGACACTCTAATATGAGATTTTTAAAAGTGGTGGGTTTTTTAATATTTTATTTTCAATAAAGGTGCATCTAGAATCTGGTTTCAATTTCAGTTCACTATAAATCACAATCTTTTCAACATAGTGCTGCTATTTCTTCTTTTAGTTCCAGTCTTATTAGAATGCAACTTAATTCAGAACATTTTGACATTCTTGAATGGAAGTTGCAGTAGACAGCTATGTAGCTATCATGAAAGTTACAACCTCAGGATGACTTTCTGCTAGCATTGGGTAAAACCTTTTTGGAAAGCATTGTTCCTTCTTCCCGATATTTTGAGGGCTTATTTGCATACCGTTCATAAAACAAATGTTAACAATTGAGGTTTACACTCCCTTAATTTCCCAATGTTTTGTTTTGCGAGCCTAAAATAGATAGAAATATTCTTAAATATAAAGTTCTGCATTTATTTCTAAATAGCCACATTGAGTTAGGGGCATTTTCAATCTAGAAATGTATTCCTGAATGGTGGTTAACTAGTTCAAACATAAGGCTGACAATTTTTCCCGTTTCAATTCCTAAAATCACTTTTAATTTAATGGGAGAAATTAGGAACGATTGTCTAGTCTTTTTTTAAAAAATTGCCTTATTTACTTTATTTAAAGATTTGCGCTCTGTCTGCCTTATGCCAACCAATAATATTATTCAAAGAGGAAAATGGCCTTTCTCTTTTAAGCTATTTGTTTACATCCAATTGTAGCAGAGAAAATTAGAGATACACAGTACTGATTAGCAACTTTTTCCATTTAACGTAAACAGATAACATATATATTAGCAGTCAGCTACCAAAAGTTAGTTTTGGATCTTTGATTCCAGAAGGATTTCCTAGGGTAAAAAAAAGTGAGCAGACAGAAAGCAACAAATAAACTGGAGAATTTCTTCATTCTTTACATACCCATTCCTTATGTGTGTTCATACATACACACAAATTATGTATAGAGTTCCTCTTTGTCTCCTGTGTTATAACCAAAAAGTGTTGGATTCTGACCAGCTACTTTTCATCAAACTTGCTAGGAAAATTGTTACAAATTTAGAAGGCAGTTTGAGATGCAGTGTAGCCGTTCTTGGGCAATTGTTGATTGGGCAAGTTCATGTCCTGACTTGGTGCTTTTATCCATCAGTTATACTTTGATCTTCTTCTGGGCTTTGGCAGTATACTCTTGCATACTATTGTCTCTGTGTGCACCTATGCATTCAGATAGATTGTGTGTGTTTTTATGAGACTGAACATTCATCATCTAGTTCATTAAGCTCAATATCCATTATGATCACCAGAAAAGGTTATTTCCTGGGCAAGCCTGCAAAGAGGCTCCATTGTCTTCAAATGGAGATTCTCAGGTTCAGCAAACCTTTCAGTTTCTATGTATCCAAAGTACCCTCCAATCAAGCTGTACTTTGCTTTTTTTAGCAGACGAGAACTAGGTTAAGCTTCTAATAAACTTAATAATGACTCAGGTGAAGGGACTTGTTGCTTTTGGCATTCTGAAAGCA